GGAGGATTGTTTTAAGCCTAAATCCCTGATTCTAGAAAAAAAAAATATTTTGGAATTTGTTTTAATCACTAATAATTGGTTCTATATCCTTCAATAAAGAGGAGAGTTTGAGCCTCCTTAGGCACTTCAAAAAGAAAATCTTTGAAATCTAGCAACACTTACAGACAAGTCTACTGGACATATGACACATGGACAAAGCAGTTTTCCCCCTACTCACATTAGAATTTTGTATTACAATCAAAGCATATGAAAATGTTGTGTATCACAAACTGTTCCTCTGCTTTTTAATCAACTCTCTTTATCTTATACTTGTACAAATAATGGGAAGAAATCCCAAATGACATATGGAAAGAGTTATCTGTTGATTAAGGTTTAAAATAACTACCATCTTCTAAAAAGCCCAACATTCCTAAACATATACACTATCTGGCAACTAAGCCCTTGCTTCAATCATGCAACAATCATTAGAGTATGTACTACGTGCCAAGTAATATGCTAGACGCTTGGTCTGTATACACAAGTGAGGCCATTACTGACTTTAGGCACTTATCCAGTAGTAGGCCTAAAAATTTCATTCCAAGAAGTATAGAAGTCCAAATGAAGGGCTGGCCAGATAGCTCAGTGGATTAAAGTGCCTGATTAGGCAGACACAGGGATGGGGGTTCAACTCCCAGCCTGCTGTGCCCGCCCCGCCCTCGGGGTGTGCTGAGAGGGTGATTGAGACTAGGCATTGTAATCCCATTGCTTGGGAGCCTGAAAACCGGAAGATCACTACAAGTCTGATCTGTGTAGTGAGAAGCTGTAGACCCTGTACTAAATACATAAAAAGGTAGAACACTGCAGAGAACCTGAACTCTGTTTTGGGGCTTGGAAGTTTTTAACATCATGTACAATTTTTTTTTTGATAAATCTTACTTTATATATTTTAAGTCTTAAACTAGAAAGCTATAACTTTTAGTTGAGATTAGAAATTATTAAATAAGAGAAAGATGATCATTAAAATACTGAATTACTTTGCATACATTCCAAGCCCCCAAATAGAGTTCAGGTTCTCTGCAGTGTTCTACCTTATTCTCCTGTAGTAAATCCCACAGTTCCCTACTTTTCCTAACATATGCTTTAGTTTCCTCCCTCTGAGCCCCACTATAACAACAGCCAATATTGTCTTGAATGTTAAAGTTCATAGAACATTCATAATAATTCACAAATCATTTATTCCTCACTACAACACTATTACCTTTATTATACACTAAGTAAACTGGAGCTCCAAGAAGTTAAATAATTTCAACAAAATTAAACTATTAGCAATTGAGAAAGCTAGAGATGTTATCCCAATATTGATGGCCAGACTCTGCTCTTCTACTGTTACACTACTCTCCATTCTACTGATTTCTCTCAGTAAGCATCTCTACCTGTTCTCCTTTCTTTTTCTACATTCCTGCTTAATGATTACTGGCCTCCCTCCAGGAGAAAAGTAAAAAATGGAGGCCCCTCCACACTGTCTCTCTAGTTCCTGCAATAGGTTTTAATCACTTGGTAAAACAGATACATTTGAGTAACTCAAAAGTACTCAAGTACATATGCAAAAATAATTTATATAATTTCAAGGTCATGAAAATTCCTTTGTACTTTCATCTTATACCCTCAGAGCTATCCAATACATCTCCAAATGACTCATCTCCAAAACTCTTTGATCGTATATCTCAGAAACCTTCAGTGTCTTCCTTTGCCTGGTGAATCAAAAATTCACAACTGTTTCATTCCAGGCCTTCTCTGTTTCTCTCTACTAAGCCACTATACAAACCCCAGATGTGATAAGCTAGCTAATAATACTAAGTACACTCTGCCATACTTCTGGATGGCACAAGACTTCTCATCACTGTACTCTAAACATGGACTAAGCCAACCACCAGCTTCTCCTTCTACATGAAACAGCCTCTCTCTGCTTACATAGATTCCATAACAATGCATTTCCTCCAACATGTAGTTCATTCTAGCTTTAACTGTAGAAGCATTAAAGAAATAAAACATAAAACTTTCTTATGTGAATGCAAAGCTTATCTCCATCTGATATCTGTGGTATTAAAAATAAGTCAACAAACCTAATCAGAGTCTGCACCATCTCCCTTTCTGTTTAATAACCCTTCATTTTTTCAAGTTATGCCACTTAGAACTGAGCACAGTCTTTCTGATAGAAACAGTGCTTTTTTTTTTAATAACCCACAATAGGTTGACTTGGGTAAACACAGTAGCAAGGCTTCGCAGTGCTTTGGACACTGTGCTGTCAGCACTGTCTAAGACTGAACTAAAGCTGTGGGCAACCACTTTACATTGCTGACATGTTGCAGGACAGTAAATCCTATGAGTCTTTTTCACTTGTATTTAAGCTGAATTTCCTCATCCTTATCCCATGTTACTTATTAGAATCAGGTCATTGAGATCTTTTGCCATCACATTTATGCCTTCAAATATATTATACATTATTAGTCTCTCCCAATCTTCTGGCATCCAAAACTACAATTAACTTACCATTGGAATTCTTAGGAATTAACAATGTGAAAAAGACAAGTGTACATGTTTGTGAGCTCCATTATATTTTTCAATCTTCAAATATCCAGATCCTATACATAGGGTACAGAGTCTCACTACACAATTCGGACTCAGTGATCCTCCTGTCTTCAGTCCCCCAAGTCCTGGGATTACAGGCATGCACCACCATGCCCAGACTCAGTGGCCAACTTAGTGCACGCTGGTGTGGGACCAGCACAGGATGTGGGGCCAGTGATCAAACCTGGGTCCCTACACTTACCTAAGCAGGTGCTTATTCCACTGAGCTATCTCACCATACCCCAGATCATATCCTATTCTATCCACTGAGCAAGTGGTTCTTAAGCTTTGTAGCATATAAGAATCATCTAAGAAGGCTGATAAAAATGCCAACTTATGAGTCTCAGCTCTAAAGATTTAGTGGCTATAGAGCAGGAGCCCAGAAACATGCATTTTTAACAAGCTTACTGAATCTAATATTGTGAAAATAACACTTTAAATGTAGTGCCCCAAACTCTTGGTCATACCAGGAACATCAGTGTCTCCCACTTTTGGAGTCATATAACTATTCCATGAACTCTGACAGCAAGGATCCTACCTGTCCTCTTTGCTACTTTATGAATAGTGCTTAGAATATGCCTGAGACTATCAGGGATTAAAAGAACCTATTGAAGCTAATGAATGATTTAATCTTTATTGTAGTTGTCATTTATGTAACACAAGAATACATTAAACCGATATTTAAGTGAACTCTCAAATTCAATTATAATTTTAAAAATGGCAAACATTTAAAATGCAGATTTATATCTTCTGAACCAAACACAGAAAATTCCTTCACCAACATAAGTTAAAATAGATAAATAGGAGAGAAAAGAGATCCTGGAAACAAGGATATATAAAAATTTATAAGCCAGGCATGGTGGTATATGCCTGTAATCCGGGAGACTGAGGCAGGAGGATCACCACAAATTCAGGGTCAGCCTGGGCTACAAAGGGAGTTCATGGCCAGCCTGAATTACATAACAAGACCCTGTCTCCAAAACAAACCCAAAGACTGTGTTATCTGGCATAGTTGACATACCTCAATGGGGAAAGAAGAGTAAAAATTAGGTTCCTTCCTCATAGCATATGCCCCATACAAAAATGAAATATGAACTAATTAAACATCTATAAAAAGCAAAACTGTTACAAATATATCTTTCCTGTCTGGAGCAAGGGCAAGATTTTTTAAATAAGACATGCAAAGCTTTTATAAACTTTAGAGAAAAATGATACTTAAACATATTAAAATATTTTTATAATAAAATAACTATTAAGTAAAAGAACATGGCCACACGGGCAAAATAACAACTACTTGGACACAGAACATTTGCAAACATTTAAAAATCAACTACGAAGAAATAAAGCAAAACTATATAGTATATGCTATTTAGAAAAAAATACAAATTATTACTTGGAAGAATTTTTACTTGGAAGAATTGTTCATGCTGGGCATGGTGGTACACCGCCTATAATCTCAGCACTCAGGATGCTGAGGCAGAAAGATCGTCGTGAATCCAAAGCAGGCCTGGGCTACACGTTGAGCCAGCCTGATCTATAGAGTGAGACCACATCTCAAAAAAAACCAAAAAGAGAAAGAACAAATAAATAAATATTTTTTAAAAAAGAATTTTTCAACTATGTGGTACATATTCTTTCTATAATATTTTATTATGACTTTTCCTAAACAATATTAAGATAGTATAATAAAACGACTTGTTCTTTTTACCTTTCTTCATTAATTATCAATATTTTGCATTATGATGGTATATATTGTTGAAAAAAATTATTGCTGAAGAAATAACCATTTACTAGAGGGAAAAGATCAGAAGAGCCTAGGGAAAAGAGAAGTCCTGTTGCTGTGAGGTTCTCAGCTCCTCTGCAGTGCTATCTGGCAAGACTATAGAATCGATTGTTACAATGTTTGGTACAACAGCAAATAACCAGCTCTAAATTACATGAAAGCCAAAAATAAAATAGCTGCAACCTGACTTTCTAGAAGGTAGAGATGGAGAAACTGGAGCGACACAAAACACGGAGCAGATGAAAGCATCAGAAACACTGAAACCAAGCTCGCGAGATTTCAGCACTCACATCTGAGGACCTGAAGCCATTCTTCCCTCGGCAAAGATAGGATTCCATCTCAGGTAAACTCAAGGGAGCTCCACCATCCCCTCCAAAAACCCATCTTCTCTTCTCCCTGAACCCAGAGTTTCGTTTAACACCAGAGTAGCAGTGACTTCCTGAAGGCTCTTTGTTCTTTATGTGGCCTTCTTCTCTGCCACAGTGCTGCTGACATAGATAGGGGTGCCTTCTGGCCTGGCTCTGACACCCCAAGTGCCACTGAGCAGGAAGGACTGGAACAACTGGTGAGGCCAAGCCAAGCCAAGTTGCTGGGGAAAGTGGACACGTACCTCTTGAAACAGTGCGCTGCTGTGAGGACCCAGCAGCTGCTCAGGAGTGTAGCCCCACACAGGAGCCTGCCATCTCCATGGGATGACTTCAGCCGGAGGGAGACCTGCCAAGGCCAACCTCCCCTGAGAAGAAAGCAAGCCACTTGTCCATTAAAGGAAAAAAACAAGCAAAAGCAACAGCTAAGCCAAAGGTTTTAATGACTTCAATGTCCCATAGGAGTGAGGTAAAAGAACTCAAAAGGACTCTAGGATGTAAGATACCTTCCTGCCTGAAGAATGAGTCCCAAAACTAAGAAGAAAATGTGTTGTCAACTCTGGACAGGTGCTTCAAGGCAGCTGCACGTATCCCTCCTGTCTGATCCTACTCCTCCAAAGAAATTGAGGCCCTTTTATATTTCATGTCTGGAGTATAATTTCTCTCTTCCCTTTAGCTCACCTAAGTAGCCTGAACAAATAGTTAATAAACAAAGTACTGTTTTCCTATCAGTAAATCAAGCAAACAAACAATATCAAAATGAACAAAACCAGAAACAAATATATTCCAAATTAATTAAATCTTTACAGTTCCAGAGTTCCACATAACAGGTTTCCTGTTAAATTATTTTGCTTCCAGCCAAATCACTTTTGAGCAACACATCTGTCTCCTGAGAAATTGGTACAGGAATACAGCCTGCACACATTAAATGTAGGCCAAAGGACAATGGAGTTATCACTGTAATCAGTATGTAATTTGGAAAAGAAAATGAATAAAATAGATTCTTTGTATAATAATAGAAAAATGAGGGTTGTTCCATTGTATATGAATTACTTATTCTAAAGCAGGGAAAATCTTTGAACACTTTACCTTAAAGAATTTTTCCCACCAATGATCCGCTTCTGCCGACGGTGCAATAATCTCAAACCACAGACAGAGGAGAGGGTCTCTGAAACACAGATGGGTCAACCATTCCCCTCTCGTATTGCTGATGGAGGGGTGAAAATACAGCTGACGTATTGCCTTGGTACTTCCTTTACTATTTTTTTAAATGCCTTTTATTCTTAAAAGTATGAAACAATTTTTCTTAAAAATAAATTGTCTTTAACCAAGTAACAATAATTTGCAAGAAAACCAAAACTTTATGAAGTTTCACATCATTCCCCTCTGAAAGATTTTGTGTGAGTAACTATATCTTCTCATGCAGGAACATTTTTTAAAAAATAACAGAACTGCAAAGGCAGTAACAGTCTAGATGACTTACTTTCTACCCAGAAAACTATTCCAAGCCATATGCAAATCAGTAGCTCAGTGAAGCAAGGCGCACTCCCAAATAGAACCGTGAATTGAGTCACATAGAATATTAACAAATGGAAAAGGCTTGACACACCACCTTAAGTGACAAACTCCATTTAAGAGTATCTAGTCAAGTGTTCTAAGATAACAGACATCTATTAAGAATACACAAGCATGAGCTAGGGATGTAGTTCATTGTTAGACTGTTTGCTGAGCTTGTATAAGAGCTTGGAATCAATTTCCAATACTGCAGATAAAAAAAAGAATTTGTAAAAGGAAGAGTTGAATAAAAAACATGTGAACAGTAATGGCCAGGGATGTAGCTCAGTGGAAGAACATTTGTTTAGCATGTGTGAGGCCCTAGGTTTGATCCCTGTTATCTGAGGAAAAAATATGAAACTGTAACACACAAAAGAAAGGCTAATATAACAAGATGTGACTAATTTATACAATAATTTGACAAAGTAGAATTTATATAAGGCTACTTTGGGGTTTTTTAAAGATGCATACATTAAGCATACATGCGTGCTGTACTGTTTTTCTATCTGTGTAAGATTAGCAGGGTGGCGATTGTGCCAAGAAGACCTAATCAACTGCAGTGGTCTCAGAGTAACCAGGCAGGGGGAGCACAATAGGCAATCACCAATAGTTATTTCTTCATAGAGAAAGAAATCCAATAATGTGAACCAAGGTGATTAATTTGCCAAAGGATCTCAGAGGCGTGCTGTCAAATCTTTAACCTTCATCTCTAAAGATATGAGCCTGCTGGATGACATTGCAAGTTTTAAGCTATTAGAAAAACATAAGTTTCCAATCATGCTCCAAGTCTGGTTGATGTATATGATGCTAAGAAAAGAAATGATGTAATAATGAGCAAGCAAAACATAAAGTTTGCCTCATTTTGGGACAAAGCACCTGATTGCAAGAAATTAAAATCTATGTAAACATTTTTATGTTATACAAAACATTAAGCAATAGCAAGTTCATTTTTGAAAGGAGCTCATTAGATAGAACCAATATCTTGAGTTTAATCATCTTAAAGACATTGCTGATCTTAAACTTCAACCCAAAATCAACTGGTTAATAAACCAGATTGTTGCCGGGGATTGTGGTCTGTGCCTGTAATCCCAGCACTCAGAAAGCTGAGGTAGGAGGATGGCTGCAAGTTTGAGGCCAGCCTGGACTACAAAGTGAGTTTAAGGCCACCCTGAACTTTATGGCAAAACAGTGTCTAAAAAAA